AAAATGGATCAGTCAATGGTCAATGCTGAGAGTCATTTCCCTTCACGGCAGAGCCTAGGATGAAAGGTCATAATCTCAGAATATTGAAACAAGTATCAAAAACAAAATGGGTGGACTCAGATCTCGACTTACCTACCAGAAGGAACTGAGAGACTGTTGTGTGCTCTGCTTCGTGGAGACTTGACTCACCCCTGCCATTTCCGAATGTGCCCTACAAGCAAGTGGCCAACAAGTGTTCTCCATACACCGCATCGACCATGTGGCATCCTTGGGTAAGGCGAAGGGCGGTGGAGTATGCTTCCTGAGCAATATCTCCTGGTGCTCAGACGTAGCGACCCTGGCAAGCCACTGCTCCCCAGACCTAGAATACCTTATAGTAAAATGCTGTCCCTACTATCTACCATGTGAGTTCACCTCTGCCATCCTGACAGCGGTGTACACACCATCACGTGCGGATGCAAAGAATGCCCTAGATGAGATCTATACCGCCACAAACACCCTAGAGACAAATTTCCCAAGTCCTTATTCATTGAGGTCGGTGACTTCAACCAAGCCAACCTCAAGCAGGTGATGCCAAAATACCACCAACACATCTCCTGCCCCAGAGGACTGAACATTCTGGACCAATGCTACACAACCAAAAGACGCCTACTACTCAATATCCCGCCCACACTTTGGAAAATCCGATCACAGCGCTGTCCTCCTAGCTTACAATCAGGAGCTGAAACGGGAGAATCCTTTACAAAATGAAGTACAGTGCTGGTCAGAGGCAGCGGAAGACCGTCTCCAGGACTGCTTGGACTCGGTGGACTGGACCATGTTCAAGTGTTCAGTGGAAAACCTAGATGAGTATGCCGCCACTGTCACGGACTTCATTAGCATGGTGGGCTGTGAACCAAAGAAGTCAGTCCAAGTGTTCCCCAACCGTGAGCCTTGGATGAACCAGGAAATCCACTCCCTCCTGAAGACCAGACGTGCAGCATTCAAGTCGGGTGACCCGGACCAATACAGAAAATCCAGAAATGACACCTGCAAGGCCATCAGGGAGGGCAAGAGGCAGTACCAGACCAAGTTAGAGGCCCAGACCTACCAAACAGACTCCCACCGTCTATGGCAAGGCCTAAATGACATTATGGGACATAAAATGAAACGGTGTAAGATAGCGGACAATGACACATCCCTCCCTGACATGCTCAATGCTTCCTACGCTCAGTTTGACACCTGTCCTGACGGCCCCAGACACACCTGTTCCCTCTGTCACTGTTCTAAAAGTCAGATCGGTCTTCCTGGGAGTCAACCCAAGGAGAGCGATGGGCCCGGACAGTGTCCCCGGCCGAACGCTCAGATCCTGTGCAGACCAACTGGTGGAGGTATTCACTGACATCTTCAACCTCTTCCTCCTGCAAGCCACCATCCCCACCTGTTTCAAGAAGACCATCGTCATCCCCGTACCCAAGAAAAGACACGAAGTGTGCCTTAATGACTACCGCCCAATAGCTCTGGCTTCAATTATCATGAAGTTCTTCAAGAGGCTGGTCATGGCCCACAACCTGCCTCAATCCCCTACAGTTTGCCTACCGACATAACAGGTCCACAGAGGATGCCATATCATAGCCCTGCACTCATCCCTGGAACATCTGGACAACAAAGGCACCTACATCAGGCTCCTGTTCATTGACTACAGCTCTGCCTTCAACACCATTATCCCCTCCAGAGTGATCTCAAAACTCTGTGACCTGGTCTCGGCTCTGCCCTCTGCAACTGGATCCTCAGCTTTCTGACCCATAGGCCGCAATTAGTGAGGATAGGTAACTGCACGTCCTCCACAATAATATTCAACACCGGAGTCCCCCTGAGATGTGTCTTCAACCCCCCACTGTACTCCCTGTACACCAATGAATATGTTGCTAAATTCCAAACGAACGCCATCTACAAGTTTGCTGATGACACCACCATAGTGGGACAGATATCTAACAACAACATTTCAAAATACAGAGGGGAGATAGAGACATTGGTGATTGGTTGCAATGAAAACAATCTGTCTATCAACGTCGGTAAAACTAAAGAACTGATCATCAAGTTCAGAAAGAAAGGAGAAGAACATGCCCCCATCTACATCAACAGAATTGAGGTTGAGAGGGTGAACAGCATCAAGTTCCTCGGAGTGATAATAACCAACAACCTGTCCTGGATTTCCCATGTAAATGCAACAGTCAAGAAGGCACAACAACGCCTCTTCTTCCTCAGGCAGATCAGGAAATTTGGCATGTCCATAAGGTCCTTCACCAATTTCTACAGATGCACCATTGAAAGCATACTGTCCAGGTGCAGAACGGCCTGATATGGCAACTGCTTTCCCCAGGACCGTAAGAAACTACAGAAGGTGATATGCACAGCCCAGACCATCATGGAAGCCAACCTTCCATCCATGGACTCTATTTACACGGCTCGACTGCAGAAAGGTGGCCAAAATCATCAAAGACTCATCACACCCTGGTAACAACCTCCCTACAATCTCTTCCGTCAGGCAGAAGGTACAGAAGCCTGACCACATGCGCATGCATGTTCAGGAACAGCTTCTTTCCAGCAGTTATGAGACTGTTGAATGGACTCTAGCCTCAAATAATGTAACCTGTATGCCTCTATGTCTTTTTGATCTGTGCATCCTTTGCTTGCTGTGATCTGCCTGTGTCACTCGTAAACAAAGCTTTTCACTCTATTTCAGTACATGTCACAATAAATCAATCAATCAATTAATCGATCCTATGGAGCAGGCTCAAGAGGCCAAACAGCCTACTCCTGATCCTATGTCTTATGGTTTTATCCTTCTACTACTTTAGTTTCCTCTAATCTTATTTGTTGATTTATTCTTAGATTTTTACTGTCTCTCCCTTCCTGTCACGGTCTGTGTATGATTTCCCAAACTAATACCTTTCCATTTTGCCTTGTACATTTTCTTTGATTTAGCATGCCTTTCCAAAAATGATTCCTTGGCCCCATTAGTTAGTTTTAAATTCCCTCTACTCCCCTACTTATACAGCTCATAAGAACAGCAGCCAGATGGAGTGCAGATACAGCTTGACCCAATGGTAAAGATCCCACTTTACCCAATACAGGTGTCAAAGGTCCATGAACTAGAACTCGCTTCTCCAGCACCAGACTTTGAGCAGAAATTCATCTCTCTAATTTGATTTGCGCTGTGCCAATTTGCACATGGCTCAGGTAACAATCCCAAGATCATGACCTTTGAGTTTCTTCTGAATTTTGTGTCTATGTCACCTATACCTACATGGAGCATGACAACTGGATCCTCCCCCTGCAAATTCCTCTTCACCACCATTCATGAATGGTTGTGACAGGACTGAACAGAGTTAAACTGATCTGTTGATTGTGAGATACGTGGCTCGGCCTGTTGTATGCATGTCATGTTATACTGTAGTTGCACCAAGTTATCACTCATATTTAGGTATGCCTGGTAAAACTGCTAACACTTCTTATTGCATCCCTATTTAGGTCTCCATTAAGAGACTCTTCAATTTAAAACTCTCAACTTTTTTTCAAATTCCACCTTGGTCCTGCACTGTTTCTATAATTCCCTCTATCTCCACAACCCTCTGAAATTTTACACTCCTCTAGTTCTGCCCCC